TTAGTCTGAGAGGGCAGCCAGAGATTTTAATTTCAGAATTAGGATTACTGGCTACTCAATGACATTTAGGAATTACTGTGGGAGTTCTCTATTTTCCTGGTCAGTTTAAAGCAGATGTTTTTCAAAAGACAAGCAAATTCAGCAAATGAATAAAGTGCCGTTGAAGCCCAGCTACTGTATCAATATCAATAAAAACTAGGTGTGCACTCTAGCCTTGGAGAGCAATGTAAAATGTAACAATGGTCTGTGAAAACAATAAAATAACAGGGAAAGAAAAGGAGCTAAGTTACCACAGAATAGAGAAACCACAGAAAAAAAGCCTCAAAACTTTGGTGTTTCTTGTTACTCATTTGAGTGAATTTAGAAGTGCCTGTTTTACTAGCCTTGCATCAGAACAGTGGGGCATGAATAGTGAATTTGAATAATTGCCTTTGAGATGATTGCCAGTTCAGATTATTTGGGATTGCAATCACTTCAGATGTAGCTTCTTTTATTTTTAATTTCAGAAATGTGATAAATTACAGCTACGAGAAGAGTAAATAAGAATTTAGTGAGACTCAACTGAAAGATCTTTCCCCACTTTGGTTTTAATGACAGAACAAGTGGCAGTCAGAGCCAGGTTGGGATGCTCAGGTCACTTGAGATTCAGGAGCAGACACTGTCCTCCTTTAAGAGGAATCATACATCATAGGCTCCATGAAGCTGCATGCTCTGTGCCAGGAGAAAGTGGCAGAGACCCAGACTTACCCTTCAGGTAAATCCACTTGTCTTAAAAAATACACTTTTTAAGGATTTTCACTAGAAACTGACTGGTCCCTTAAAGCCACATAATTTACCTAATGATTGATTGTAGCATCCTATTAGGAATGTCTTGAGATCATGCTTGAAAATATGATGTAGAAGCAAAGATAACTCCAATGCAGCTCTGTAAATTTGAGAATGACCATGAAGGAAAGCAAAAATGCTCCAGTTAATAGATTGTCAGAAATATATTTAAATCTCTCCTTTTCAAGCTACTCTATTAGCAAAAAGAAAACTTACATAAAATTAACTCAATAGTAATTCACAGATTATGTCAGATTTCCCAAATAACCTTTTTATCTGCCTGGTGTGCAGATGCTTTTTCTCTGTGGGTCAGAGCACGGTGCCTTGGCAAGAGCAGGAATGCTGTGGGGGCATACACATGGCTAGAAAAGTTTTATGGTTTTACTTTTTAATGGTAGACATACCTTGGAAATGCTTTGGGTGCATACACACCAAAAGTTTTATGGTTTTATTTTTTAATGGTACACATATCTTGGAAACAGCTGCAAGATTCCTATTCCAGGTTTCATTTTCCAAAGTTGTGCAGCAGTTATTTTGGCATCTAACACATCTGGCCTTTAATCATGGTCTCACTGCTCCACAGTGTTTGACAGACTATGTGGTAAAGCTCTTGCATTCACAGGATCACTGAAAGGATCAAACCCCAGAAATATTTCATTTGGAAGGGACTTCTGGAAGTCACATCAACCAGCTTTCTTCTCTAAGCCAGCCTAATTTCAGGACTTGAAAAAATCCAGTTAAAACTTTATCTTTTAAAAAAGGTGATTTTTTTTAAATTTTTTTTTAATCAGTCAGTTTTACACTCCAAATGGTGGTTCCCTGATTTTCTATTCTCAGGTAGTGTCTACCTTCATCATCATTGTATTAAATATAGTTGTCTGTGTAAAAGCCATTGTCTTTCAAATCACTGTGGGAAACAGCTATAGTTCACCTATCATGGCTTTGCAGAGAGTCAGTGATTAATTATTTCTTGTTTTAAAATTTATGGAATTGTCCATAGTTGCATATATGGCTTTAGCTTAAACAAATTTCTAGTCTAATTTGGCATAATAATAATTATGTTATAGAGTCCTTTTAAGATTATTAAGGCAGATTCAGATTAGACCTAGATACAGCTACAGAATCCATATCTTCAGGAGAAATATTTCAAACTTCTAAGGCAGGATTTGTTTTTGTAGCTTTTGTTCACACCCTTGTAAGCCAAAGACTGACATGATTAAATTCCAGTCTTGTTGGAGGACTTTGCTTCTCAGATAGTAATGTCTTATATACCTGATTTTCAGTTCTGTTTTTTTTCTGTGGTTAATTTTTTCCACTCTTTTTATTCATTACTCCATACAATTTTTGTTTATCTTTCAGAAGTCTACCCTGGCAGTATTTCATGAACTTTTATACAATTCTGACACTCTGGGCTCCGGCTAGTCAATGGCTTAGTTTCTGTCCTGGCTATATTTGTCTGTGGCTCAGAGATATAATCACTAACAATGTAGTGAAATGATTTGCCTTCATGTAGTTATTTTCCCAGATTTGGATCAACTTTCAGAAAAACTTGCTCTGTAAAGGATCACAGTGCAATATGTGAATAGTCTGTATCTTAATTTCATAGAAAGTACCAGGATGGCTTTCTGTAACAGGAAGAGTTGTTTGGCAAAACAGGAAACTGGTGTGTATAAACACATAAGCCGCTGTCCTGCTGGGCTCTGAAAAGCCAGATGGTTTTATTACTCTTGCCACTTGCTGGAGAAGCCATCATTCTGCCAGGATTTGGGTAATAGCTCTGCCCTGGGATCTGTCAGAGCTGTTGCACATCCATCTGGCAAAAGGCTCAGCGATGCACTAGAGCTCCATTCTCCTGCCCGGGGAGAGCAGCGAGCTCTGATGCCCAACGTGGGCACCGTCGGAGTCGCCGTGCCCGCAGCTGATCTGTGACACCCAGCCCAACACTGCTGTCCATCCATCATCTCTGGAGGCTGCTCTTCCTCAAAGCTGCTAAGTCTGAAATTGTCATAGAAAGACTAAGCTCCAGAAGGTAGAGACAGCAGATACCAAATAGTTTTGTTTGGAGGAGTGTACCCCTATCGTGTTCTTGTGTAATGTGCATTACAGTAACCTCAAAATACAGACAAATAAAATACAAGGCTAGCTTAAGAATTCTTACAAGAAAGAAAAAACAGGGTCAGCTCTGAAAAGTTTCTAATATTCAATAATTTGTAGGGTCTATAGAATAGAATGTGTTAGTGGGAAGTTAAAGTTAGCTGCAAAACAGTGGGGGCTGGTGAAATGAAACAGAATGATGAAATCAACACACTTTTATAGATAGATATGTATTGGAATATGTATCCCAATATAACCAGTTAGATGGTGCCCAGGCCAGTTCTGACCTTTGCTGCTGGGCCACAGGCAGCACTGCGGTGTTTTACCCCAGAGATACCTTGGCTGGCGGCAGAGTGCAGCGGGGCACAAGACAGGACTCCGTT